TGTTCTGATAAACTAAAATTTTATCTCTTTGCGGATGATACTAATATACTTTATGCTGATAAGAATCTTAAGGCGATCGAGCAAACGGTTAATGTAGAGTTGAATAACGTACATGACTGGTTAACTACAAATAGGTTGACATTGAATACAAAAAAATCAAATTTCTTAATTTTTCGTCCTCATCAGAAAAAAATGCATTTTTCTCCACAAATAGGTATTTTAGATTGTGAGACAAACCGAAGAGTTAGTTTAGAGCAAAAAAGTTATATCAAATATCTAGGCGTTTTAATTGATCAAAATTTGTCATGGAAAAACCATGTTGACTCTGTTATCGTAAAAATAAGTAAAACAATAGGGATGATTGCAAAGCTGAGGTACTTCGTTCCCTCTACTATCCTTGTAAATATTTACAATTCATTAATTCTACCTTATATAACTTATGGACTCCTTGCCTGGGGCAATGCGTCAAATGCTTATTTAAACAAGATTTTAGTTCTTCAAAAGCGAGTTTTGCGCTTAATCTATTTCACCGATCGAAGAGAGCATGCCATCCCTTTATTTGCCAAAGCAAAAATTCTGCCTGTTACGTTCCTATATTATGAAGCCGTAAGTAAACTTATGTTTGACGTGCACAACCAGAGGGCTCCCATTAATATTTTGAAACTATTTACTAAAACATCTCATATTCATACCTACAATACTCGATCATCCAAATCGCAGCTCTTTAGTACAAAGTACTCTAGACTTAACCTACAAAAAAAGGCTTTCTCGCGTGTTGGTGTCAAAATTTGGAATAAGATACCGAAAGAATTCAAAACGTTATCAAAACATTCCTTTAATAAACAAATTAAAACGTCTTTATTTCAGATACTAGATAATGAAGATTCTTATCTTGATGTTGAAAAGATCTCCTCTAAACTTAAGGACTGCATAATTAAAACAAATTGATCCGATTGCTTTCAGTACTAATGTATTTGCTTCTATACTTTATTGAACAACTATTGATGTATTTGCCAGCTATGCTTCTTTTTATAATTTAACAATATCTAATTATTTAGTTTTTAATTTTCTTTATATATTGTAAATAATGTTTGTTGATGATTGACCCGCCTCGAATAGCAAATTTGCTATCTGGGGGTCAACATAATCTAAATTATTTTGTAAGAAAAAGAAAATAAAGTGTGTGATAAGTGTGTTTCTTTGGTCACGCTGGTCATCTAATTATCACGCAATCACAACAGCGTGTTTTAACAGGCGTTGAGTATGTACATCGCTTGAATGATCAACGGTTTTGCAGAAAGCGAAAGGAAACATTGAGCATTTTCTATCCTGACCAAAACAAGGTAAGAGTCGAATAACTTAACTCATCGCTCAGGGGAACAAAGTCTAATTTTCGGTGGAACAGCACATTTAGCGACACAGGAACTTATCGGCCTATATTCAATCTGCTGATCACTACGTTCTAATTTAAATTCAGACTATGTTTATCTTCATCGCTGCAAAACCTCCGAGTCGTCCAAACTCAAAGATGATGATGAAGGTTTTGCTTTGCCAATAGCGTACAGTTTAGAGACAAAACTAAAGAATTTCGACGTATCCCTTGGCTACGTACATAACACGTCACCTTGTTATCGCAATTCTTAAGTAATTTAGATGTTAAATACGTACGTAAATGTTGAAACTTTCGATCCGCTGTTCCAACTTCAAGCACAATAAACCGAATAAATCACATGGCTCTCTGTAAGTCTCAAATAAATATGGTGGGACAATTCATAATATAAACCGGAAACCTATAGAGAAACGTCATGTGATAATAAGACTGTACGGTCTACTACGGCACGACAAAAAAGTAACACCATTTCCGCTTCATATGTTGGGAGTCTGTTTTGAAGTATTCGGCCATTGTTAAATCTCGTTAGTTCAAAGCTCAAGTCCTTTCCTCTACAGTTCATGGCTTAGTTACTTCGGTAAGGTCTAATACTTTCTATCGCCGCCTCTTCACAAGTCATACTGCAAGTCTGGCTGTTACCGGTGTATATACATCTCCCAAATTAAGGAGGCTTAAGGGGAAATTTCGAGAGCTGGGACTTTTCACTTCCATATGGGAACATACAGGAGCAGGCTCAACTAGTGGAGTGCTTTAAGCTGTGACCATTTTTATCACCATGACGAGTAGGATTGAAATGCCGGCGGCTAAAGGTGCAGCGAAAGTCGCCGAGACTTGTGTTTGGTGGCCTAATAGTAAGCTGTAACGTTTCAGTGAGTTTTTAATTTGCTCTTATTTCAAGTAAATTTTTAACTTAGTCTTATTTCAAGTAAATCGTGATAAACAGCTGCAGAAAGTATTTTATTTCTTTTGTGAATGAAAGTTGCCTTGCCTTGACATCTCGCTTGAGCTTCAACCTCACCGAGCCCCACTGTGCGGTGTGGTCAGCAGCACACTTGGTTATGTAATTTTGCAGGAAGTGTCTTTTTCCCGTTGTATTCCCAACGAGTGGCGGTTTTAGGGCACGCTCTTTTTTCGCTTCGGTATGGGGTATTTTCATATCATGATATGGGTATGAATTATCCATTTGTTTCTTGGTATGTAGACAAGAGTCAACAATTCGAAGAAATTATGGGTATCTCGTGGGAAAAAGTTGATTGTCTTAGAATCTTCACTATTTCCCTGGAAGGCTGTACAGCAGAGTTGAAGCAAAGTATCGAAGCATTGAAAAACTGAGACTTCAAAAATGTCCACCCAAAAAATATCATTGAAAAGCATCATAAGTCATGAAATCCCCCATAAAGTCAAGAGCTTGACCTGTTCTTAATTGGGCAGCTGAACAGGCGACATTTCGTTTTGCGTTTTTGATGCAAGCGAAGACAAGCGCTAGAATAACGCGAGGAAAGCGCAAGACGAACGAGAGAGGCACGACTTGTGCGAGGAGAGAACCACTGACCTGATAAACGCCAAAAAGTGACGCCTATTTGGCAGCTTAATAATTTTTTATTACTCTTTGCAGTTCTGCTAGGTCACACCATGACCTCTATGACGTCACTGGACCTGGGTCTCACGGTTGCCTTCTCTGTGGTGGTGGTGGTAAATCTCGTGGGAAACAGCGTGGTATGCATGGTTGTGTTCCGATACCATGGAATGCGTGCGCCGGTCAATTACCTTCTTGTGAACCTAGCAGCCTCGGATATCATGGTGGCGCTGTTTATCATTCCAGTTTACGTCATCAAATGGGCGTTTCACCACCCGTCAGGTACTGCAGGGGACTTCTTGTGCAAGTTTATCACTGGAGGGAGTTTCATCTGGATTGGTGGGGCTGCATCAGCATTCTCGTTGGTAGTTGTCGCTATTGAGCGTTATTTCGCTGTTGTTCACCCCTTTGGCGAACGTTGGCGACTCACAAATTATCGATTGATCTCGATTGTAATCTTTGGCTGGCTTTACGCCATAATCTTTAACCTGCCTCTGTTTTTTGTGATTCGTTATGATAAACACGGAGTAACTCATTGCCCAGAACACTGGCCGAATGAACATCTTGCCAAAGCTTACACCATTGCTTGTCTTTTTGTCTTCGGTGTTATTCCCATGGGAGCCATGGTTATTTTATATTTAAAGATGCTCAGCAATCTCTGGAAAAGTGGAAATCCTAGCAACTTAGGGGTCACGGAACGAGCGCGAATCAGATCGAGGCTGAAAGTGACAAAAATGGTTTTCGTCGTGAGTTTAATGTACATAGTATGCTGGTTACCTAATCTGGTGTTTTACATGTTGTCGAAGTATGAGCCAGAAGATTATGCATATGGCTCGGTTCCATATATCATATCAGTGATACTTGTTGGCGTCAATTCAGCCATCAATCCCTTCATTTACGCTCTTCATAGTAGTAACTTTCGCCAATACATAAGAGGAACCCTTTGTTGCAGAACATTCCGGTCAGAAAATTTTGTTGATCCTAAGCTTTCTGCTTCCTTGTAACACCTCTGTTGCTTTTAATGACCCTTAGTATATACCGGACAAGCGAGTAGTGCTTTCGCGCGCGATGATTGGCTAGTTCGAAAGTGAACAGCAAGTACTATTCACCTCTGAGTATTCGAAGAGACAAAACCGCTCGTCAATAGTTTAAATTCCGACCATATTTCGGTGTATTGAGGGAAATAAGCTATTTTTTGGTATCTATGTGGTATAAAATAAAACAGTTATTCGCGAGCATACGATTTTCTCCACGCGGTATCAACGTGATGCAAATGAGCTCGTAAACACTCGATCTGTAAACGTCAACAACCTTAAGATTACTTCTAACGTAAATAGCTATGCCTCCTCTCGCCCTAAAGTCCCGTCCTCATAATGGTACGGTCTCTTCTGAAAACAGAGTAATTTGGTATATTAGTGACAGCGTCAGGCATGTCTGATTTCCAATGTGTTGATGTGTTTCTGTAACTACGCACGCATCCACATCATTATGAGTCAGATCGGTCTCTAAAGCGCAAGGGAGCGTGAACACGATTCTTTGCTTTTTACGAGACTGCAGATGTTAATAAACAAATTTAGGGGCAGCGAAACTTGAAACGCTGGAGGATATTTCCCCTGTTTGACACTTGATATGTATAAGTAGCGAATTATTGTAACATTTAACCAGGAAATTCAGCAATAAAAAACTATAGCTAATAAACGATATACAGAAGCATAACGCGAAAAATCACAGTTTGCTTCTGTGAATCCCATATCGTTAAATTCCTGCTTTGCTACATTTGCATTTGTGTTTAGAGCTTGTCTTTGTCATTAGTTGATATTTCTGGTCATCATCAATAAATAACAGAGAAAGACGAGTATCTTTTTTCGAAGGTAACTGATAAATGTTACGAAGTTTGCCGGAAAAAAACAAAAAAAAAAAAAAATCAGAACGCGCTTCACACAAATGCGAGGCCAAGAATGAGGCCAATATTCTGCCATAAGGGCCTTGCCTCAGTCTTCCAGCGTTAATAAGCAAGATAAACTAAGGACACCTGTCAACAAGAGTACTTGAGTAAAAGGTTTTACTTGACCTGCTTGCACTGGTGATGTATAAAGCCAGCACCATTTCGTATATAAGTGCGATTGCCAAAGAAAACGTGCGGGACTTCAGGTATGAGTGTAAAAGCGACTCATATTTACATTAACCGATTCGGAAGCTACAATGACAAATTATTTATCATTTAGGTCATTTACAACTTGGTTTATCGCTGTCAGCGCTAATAGTTACAATTGCCAATATATATTTTGCTGACGCGTTGGGTTGAACGTGGTGTTACTCGAAAAATATAGTCAGGGTGAATGTGTAAAACAGAAAACAAAGAAATGAGATCACGCCAAAAAAAAAAAGGATAAGATGGTTGAGAACAAAGAATATTTTATAAAACATGGATTGTGAAGTTAGAACTTGGAGAATTTCGGTTAATTTTTTGAAAGGCACAAAACTCCCTGGTAATAAAATGTGAAAAGCTGTAGGACCCTCGCTGTAACGATAACAACAATGTAGGTTCCTATCAGTTTATTTTGAAGAAGGCGAGATTTCATGTACCTTTATAGCATACGGGGGCTCGGAGAACGAAAGGGCATTATGGTTTTCGAACAGAAGTTGCAATAAAACGATAGAAATTGAGCTGTCAGAAGAATATTATGTTAAAAAATGTTTTTACATTTTGTTTTGGAGGTCTTTTGCTATATTGAAGTCTAATAATAAGTATTTTTGTCTATTATTAAAAACTAGATCATTGGATAATGCAATTCAAGACTTTTTATTAGCTTAGCCATTATGGTATATCAGCCAATATACCATAATCTACAAATATGTAAAAGGGAGCTAAAAATTTAATAAAATTTAATAATTTGATTTAACGTTTTTAATAAAACAATTATTCCACGAGCGCGCGTTGGATATGAGATGATAGATAGCCAACGAGGCGCTTAGCGCCGAGTTGGCTATAATCATCTCATATCCAACAAGCGCGAGTGGAATAATTGTTAATTATTATATATCTAGATTATATATTTCATCAACTGAATTGATTGGAATTTTTTTTATTCTAAATTTGAGATTGTAATAATTTAACATTGGCATTTTTTGTGAGGTTCCGTCTGCTAAACAGACGAAGAAGTTGCAGTACGACAGCATCATGTATTAAAATGAGATGAATAACAGGGCAATATAAGGGGGCCGCAATGATACAAAGGCCCACTCAAGCCACCGCGTGCTCACTTGAATCATTATGCGTTGAATAGATCTGCCGTCTGAAAACAAAGTCGTCTACTTTTGCGTGAACTTCGTAAATTTGCAGTACTGGGGCCATTAGTTATTGAAAGGTCGTATATCTGCAGGTTTGTATGGTTTTCTCTTTATTGCGTATCTAGTTCTTTACCCCAATTAAGAGATAAAGTTTTTAAGTTTCGCAGATATGCTCGTGGTGAATACGTGCATCATGATAAATCATCATTTACGAAGCCTCAAGAGGTTATAACCTTAGAGGCATTGTTTATTTTTCCATTTTCTTACAAAGAGTGAAATCTTCCTTACGAGGTTTTCGGTACCATGTAGTCGCTATCTTTTTGTCATTTATGTCAAATAGATGACAAACTTTCCCGTTTCATAAAGCCCAAGGCTTGGTCTATTTTTTTTCTCTCTGGTAAACGTTGTTTTCATGGCATAATAGCAAAAAAGCCAATCAAACTAAATAAAAACATCGCACGCAATCCCCTGCCGCTGTCAGTGGAAGCTCGCTGAATTAGACAGGTATGACATATCTATCGGGCTACCAAAGACAGAATCGAGAATCAAGAAAATAATTATTTGGAAGGTTTTATTACAAGAATCGTGTTGCCCTAGTGTCTGGTAGCTTTGATCAGTTTTACCTAAGAACAGATTAAGAACGTGTCTCTGTAAGAATCAAACATCTTGGGAATTGAAAATTTTCAACCCCCCTTCAAATTTTGCATACAGTTAGGCACTCAGGGGGATGCACAAAAATGCCCTTTTTAAAGGTTGCAGTATTCTTGTTGCCATGGTAACACCGGCTGCTTGTTCGAGGCCTGGGGCCTCATTTTCATACAAAAACATCGTAAACGCAAATGGCCAATGCAAAAATCCAGAAAAGCCCAAAAGTGCAAATAAGCGGCAATTAGATGATTTGAAATATCTCAGATTCGAAATATCTCTGTTCCGTGTCATCCCGAAATGAAAACTGCCCGAACCTGCTCTTTTTAAGGAGAGGCAATATGTAGTACAAATTGCTATTGTAGCAACTGGGTTTTACATGTAGTACTACCGCTGACAAGTTGCGATTTATACTCTCACTCTCTGTGTTTATGAACGTTCAATCGGCAGAGCTGAATAACGTATACGCATGCGCTATATTTTGCCGCGGAAACACGGATTTTGAGTCATTCGCATGGTTGATTTCCTATTCTGTTGCTTCGAGGTGTCGTTTTCCTTGCCGCTTTTCTTTTACGGAACAACCTCCATTAAATTTGGTACACCCCCTAAAAATGTTAAAAAATTAATCTTCTTCAAAACTTCTGGAAATAGGAAAATGCCTTCGACGAAAACAGAGTTCCTCGGTTTTAAAAGTCAGCTCTTATTATTTTCCGCTAATTTCGCTAAATTTTAGACCTAGGACACTTGAGCCCGCGTTGTTGACCGCATACCCTCTGACGTAGCATTTCATTATTCAGCTCTGTCCGTTCAATCAACGTTTTCTTCTCTTTTTTTGGTTGTTTTTACCTCAGAATGCGGGGAAATCTGCTGAAATATCGAAAAATGTCCATTTCTCGTCTTCTTTGGAGCGACCTGATGGAAACTTCGTGGAGAAATCAAGCGTCACGCCATCGTGAATAACGTACATGTTTATGACAAATGATTGGTGTTACGATATATAGTTTCGTGTACATCAGCCAACTTTAATATGTTTAAAATGACAGACAAGTACAACCGTGTATCGTCAGAGGATTTCGGATTGCTCAGACTACCATGAAAGAAGGTACTCGGAATCTGGATGATATGCACACAATTTAAGTTACATGTTTGTAGTTACGTCGGGTAGTCCTTTATGAAGGTTGATCAATTTTTTTTCTGATATTAAAGCTAGTGGCAGATTTCCCTTCGGGATATTGCTTAGAAGATAACGTTCTTTCGATATCATGCACTTTTCATTTGTCTGAAACGTTTGTTGTTGAGAACATTTGATGTAAACATTGCCAATTTATGCAATATCTAATTTTTAAGCTTCGTTCACGAATTGCCACTAGGAAAAGTAGAGGGCGGCCCGCAGAGATTTTTACATATTTAAAAACTAGAATATTACAACCAGCTAAGTGTGTAGTTTCAGTTTCAGTATCGTTGTCCTTTTGGAGAAATTTAGACAAAAGTTTTCCCTGTTTTACCCTACGGCAAAAATGACCGAAACTGTACCAAGATAAGTAATCTATTGGTGTGTTCACAATCACTCCCAGCCAAAATTGAATGCATCAAAGTAAAGACAAATGATGTCACTATGTATGCTAGAAGTACTAATTTGTAATGTTGTATTTAGCTTGAGATAGAGAAATGAACATTTTACACTTTTTGCGATGTTTTTTGTATGAAAATAAGGCCCTAGGCCTCAAACAAGCAGTCATTGTTACCATGGCAACAAGAGTGCTGCAACCTTTAAAAAGTGCATTTTTCTGCATCCCTCCTGAGTGCCTAACTGCATGCAAAATTTGAAGGGGGGTTGAAAATTTTCATTTCTTAAGATGTTCGATTCTTACAGAGACGACACGTTCTTAATGACAATTCGTTCAGACGAAGGATATGCCAGCAAATTAATAACTGAGAATTTTATTTAAGGTGATGAAAAATTTTCATATTAGATAAAACTATGACTTCGTGAAATTCTGATTCCCGAAGCTAAGAAAGTATTACTCATCATTATATTGAAAAGGAAAACCTCATAAACATTTACTTTCCACGCACATAAACATACGCTTATTACAAAACTAGTTTCGTCTACAGACTTCGATGTATACATCGCATACAACTGAAGAGGTCTGTGGACGAAACTAGTTTGTAGTAAGCGTATATTTATGTGCGTGGAAAGTAAATGTTTATGAGGTTTTCCTTTCCAATATAATGATAAAACGATGAGGAAAATTAGTAATACACTTTCTCAAAATTAAAATAGCTAGTTTCAACTATGAAAAT